TTTTATTTTACCCGGTTAAATTCATTTATTTTAAAACATACAAAACTCTGTTTTTCTACGGAAAAAATGGTCGAAAATAGTAAATTTGCCAGACGAGTTTCTCTCTTGAAAAATAAAGTGAATGTTCGGACAGAAATAAAACGTGAAAGAAAACATACAACACGGATTCGATATAAACATCTGATTGTAAAATAAATGCTTTATCAATTTCCTGTTTGCTGGATGTTGCTGTGTTGCCGTTCTGCTGATGTATTTTACGCTGGGAATGGGAATAAATGCAATTCTGCAGCTAGCTCAGAGCAAGGAGTTGTTTCAAACAGAATAACCGATATAACTCAATTGGGCTTGTTATATGCACCGTGACTCCAAACTCTACACTTTTATGTCAAATATTCTTCACTTGTTTTCACAAAATCCTTACGGTTTGACACTTCTTAAGTTTTCTTGCGCGCTTATATAACTAAGTCACTTTACGGTGAATGTACCTAGGTATGTCATAGATGAGCCTACCAAAATAACTTACCTATTGAAATCAAATTTGCGGATGCCATAGACGTTTTTTTTATTTGTTTATGAAATGAAACACTTCCAATCTTTCATGAACTCAGCCTTAATTCTGTCTGTATCCACATTGAATTTGAACTAGATTTAATTATCTTAATTATTTCTTTTTATTTGCCCTATTTTTTTATCGTCAAGCATAGTGTTGGGCTCCCTCCAGCCAGCCCGAAGAATGAATGACTTGAAAAGAACGGCTGGTAGTGACTGGATGTTTAAAACGGGAGTTCATGCCTCGTGGCGCACTTTGGATAAGGCCTATGTCTAGCAGAGGACGTCGTCTTTGGGCTAAAATGGTGTGATGATGAAGTTTATTGGACGCAAGAGTTTTTATGACTTCGTTCTTAAAACTCTAAGGCTCGGATTATAGTCCCGTCCTGGCCGCGCCGCGCGCAGAATTCGTTGCATACATTTCCTTGTAAACTTGCAAAAAGCGACCCGGTCGCGGCGGCCGCACCGCGGGACTATAATCCGAGCCGTAGGGTGACGACACGGAATATTTTTAAATTGGGCAAATTTAAAAAATTGTTATCGACATGATAGAAGAAGAAGACGGAATATTTGAAGGGGCCCTCTCAAATATTCCGTCACTCTGAGGTAACATGCTTTACAATATCTGTCGGCTCTGACAGCGGATGCAGTTCAGCTGTCTATTTGTCCGACATGCCTTCCGGTTATATGATACAACTTGGTATCTATATCTACATGCAACACGTACCTACATACGTATCTACATTACGTTAAAGGTAGTAAGTATGTTCTTCTCTCTCTCTGTCTTCGTGTGGGACACCGAGTCATCCAACGACCCTATGGGGCCTGATGTCAGAGATTCACAACTGCCTTGCTACTGGTAGCAGGCCTCTGAGATGGATGTGTAACGACTACCATAACCATAACAACCACAATAGTTCACGGCTGGACATAGGTCTCCCCCTCTATTAAAGAAAATTGCCAACTCACCACGCTTGGCAGGTCAATTGGCAAGTATAAAGATGTTTTATTTGAATGTAACTTCTTTGTAGAAATATTTCCACAGGTGTTTTAATTTAACACTTAGTAGATATTGATATTAACTTTTTGGCTATAAAGTTAATACAAACGAGGCTAGTGATAAAATATGCGGAAAAAGATGTTTATTTACAAGGAATGCTGCTGCCTGTTCCCTGGATTATCCTTTAGTCGCTTTTACGACACCCACGGGTAGAATTGGGGTAACGCATTTTCTAAACCGACATCACACGGCACGGTAACGACTACGGTAAGTATAGTAGACAGCAACAGGGAACGATGGCACAACGTGGTCTCCGAAGCAAGAACAATAATTAATTTTAGAAAATCAGCCATAGCTATTTGCCATGGGTGGTGAAGCCTTACCAGAATGGTAAGAAACAAATCCACAAAGTGATAAATGTCTATTTTGTGAGTGCCTCTCCGAAAACTGAACCCGGAACCTTTTGCGTTTCAGGCATTCGCACTACCGCTAGTCAGTAGGTATACTCCTGTGTAAAAAGATTCTGAGTTCTACGAACCATTGATTAATTTCGTTAAGAATGCCTAAAGTAAACAAAGTTATTTGTTATAAGCGAGGTCAACATAACATTAGTCCCTTGGTATTTGTCAAGTTTATTAGCAGAGTGGATGTTTTGACCTTTCTATTTATAACATAAGGCTAATAGCCTCCTTACGATACAATAGGATTGTTTGATAACAATATACAAAACATATTCCCATCTATTATCAATAGAAGAATAGCAAATGTATCAAACAAAATAATAACCGGAGAAAACCAGAAATCGTAGCTGCCTGCTACGGCGTAGCAAAAGCGTAGCTAGCATTCCATTTCAAAATGATGGCTTCTGAAATTCATTGCTGAGCCAATAATACTTTTATTGCCCCTCCTGTAAGAAACTCGAGTGAAATGGCATCTAAACATCTTATGGCTCGGCCCTAATTACTCAAATTTCTGATAAAATATTATGACAAACGTTTTCCTTGTCTTGCGACACTAAAATATTCTGTTATTGTTCGAATAAAGTACTTGTACAGCTACAGTTTGTTACCGGTTACCGGCAAGCGGGCATTTATTTTAACTGATAAATCTTGATGATAATCAGATAGCCCCAAAGAAAAAGATGTCTGTATAGATGCCTAGATTCACCAGTTTGAATAAATGCCCGCTTGCCGGAAACACATTTTTGACAGCCGATGTTGCGCAGTGGTTAGTACGACTGCCTGTTCCCCGTGGGGTCACTCACAAATTTGATATTTATTACATTCAACCTGTTTCCAGTCTAGCTAGGACAATGCAGGCTGAACCACCAGATTGTCCGAAAAGCAAGATGGTTCCGTGCGCCGGATGGGCACGTTAAGCCGTCGGTCCCGGTTGCTGTCTATGATGGCGGTCGTTACACAACCGTGTCAGAGGCCTGCTGATTGCAGTAGGCAGTTGAAAATCTCTGACACCAGGGTTCATCGGATCGTTGGACGACTTGGTGTCCCACTCGAAGTAGGAGAAGAAGCAGGTAACACACTCTTTATTAGTTTTGTAGACAACCTTGAAAAGCCGTGTTTTATTAGGATAAAATACCATATAGTTAGTTTATGTTCATTAAAATTCCACGCATTGTAGGTGTACTTAATAATAATATGTAAGATAAATACACGGCTATAACAACAACGTAAGTTGAAGCTTGTTATCTGTGCTAATTAACTGTAGTAGGTATTAATTAGAACCAAATTAGTTCACCGTAACTAAATTTTGTGGTACATTCACTAAACAAGGGCTGTGAAAACCATTTTCGATGAACGAATTAGCCGTGTCGTGCCGGCTTATAATACCATCACCCCATATCTTACCCGTAGCGACCAAGAGGTTTCAGAGTTGATTTGTATTGCAATTTTAGACGACTGGCTGATAACCTGTCACTATGGTGATACACAGTCTTCTGAATGACTCTCAAACTTTTGTCAGACGTGGTATAAATGGCCGGTATTTACAGCCACTATACTTATGTATCTATGTATGTGCGCGTGATATAGGTATGTATGTATGTTTGGGATGCTCACATCTTCACAAAATTCACACTCAAGTCTCTCATTTACTCAGGCTCTCGACCCTCCTCACTTCCGGTAACGGAACAAAAATACGGACCGAACCTTAGAGTTTATACGGGGAGTAACAAAAAGGGTATAACAAGCCGACAGGAGGTCAAAGTACTCATGAAACTGAACAACTATCCCCATGTAACATGGGTCGAAATATGAAAAAACAATTTGAACCTCTCACAGTGTAAATCAATCACCTGATCGGAGATTTTGTGTGAGAGGTCTAATATTTTTTTTTTATATTTCGACTTATGCTCCATGGGGAAAGTTGTTCAGGTTCATCAGTATTATAACCTCCTTTCGGCTTGTTATACCCTTTTTGTTACTCGCCGTATATCCTCTAACTAAGGAATGAACCTTATAGAAACAAACTTCAATTTACAATCTTATTCCATCTTGTTGACGAAATTCCGTTGGGTTTCTATGACCAACAGTATGGCATCTAAAATCAGTTTTAGTTTTCGATACTGGAGGTCTATTCCGGAATTCCAGTTTTGAACTCCAGTTTTGATCTCAACCTTAAAAATATTCTAAAATTGGACTTTGTAATTTTGGCAATTAACGCGGGGGTCGTGATGTGAGTAGTCCCTCAGGTATTTGAGTGACCATTTTTTTTCTAAAAGGGAACAGTGAAGGATTTCAATTTACCCGAATAATTTTAATTTACATGTTGTTTTACCAAAACCGATTTAAACAAGTAATAAAGAAGTATTGGAATAAGCTGATGTAATTAAATACAAAAACCCGACTGCGGTAGTTTCAAAGTTGTATTTTGCGATAAAAATCTGGCTTTTAGTATGGTGTCACTTGTGCTGCCGAGACGAATGTAACGACACCTCATACATATGTCAAAATCCAACTATCCGTTTGGGCTGTAGGTAATTTTTTGTCCACATACATACATACCTACATACATACATACATACTCTCGAAAAACATAACCCTCCTTTTGAGGCAGTCAGGTAAAAATGAGTTCGATATTCCGGTTATTTGAATTTCCAGAATTCCGATTGCCACCTCCTAACCAGCCGCCTAGGGAATTCCCAAACGTAATCTTTTAAATCGTGTATTTTCTCAAGAACCTCCCTCTTGTAATTTTGGGTGATGGCGTTTTTTCAAGAAATGCGTTGACCCATTAGGAGTAGGCGACGAAAGGGAAGGAAAAATAATTTGGTACAACCCTTAAGTATAATCAGTCCGGCGACAGTCCCATAGAAATACGCGGGGCAGATTACAAAGTATATGCGCTTAAGTGTATGCAAACAGGCGTTTTTGCATGTGAGTGTGGGTGGACGAATCGTACAATGTGACAAAATGAGAAAATTGGAAAATTCATTAGCAACCGCCGGGATTTGAACCCAGGACCGTGGGGTACCATCCCACCGCTCTGCCAACAGAGTTACAGGCGCCTAGCGAATCCTGATGAATTTCTTACCCTTTTGATGCTCGTCTTAAAGCGAAATCAAGCGACATCTCGTACTAGCTTTTACAAATAAATACTTTGGTTAGTCCACATTATCAGTGGAATTCAAACTATTATTGAGACAGCAGCGGGGCGAGGAAACATCAGAGAGGGGGTGGGAGTGTCGCTTCTTACCGAGTAGCTCTTTATTTAGTATTCTTTTAATTGTGGATGTTCTTGTCGTGGGCCCCCAGTGTAAGCAGACTGCGACGGTTAATTCAAAGATAACACACCGAATCCACAAAACCGGCTTGTAAAGCTTTCAGACGGAAAACCAGTGAGGAGATGGGCCGGGCCTTTCTACAATAATAAAAAAGAGTCTCAAAAAATATTCGGATGATTTAGGGACAAAAATATTAGATAGATGTGAATTTTAATCGCATTCCGCGATATTTTTTCGTCATAAAACTTGCTTATAAGCACAGAATACATATTAGTACTATAGGTAAAAATCAGAAAAATTTCGCGCGAATTAAAATCGCTGTGCAGATAGAGCCTAAACTAGGTTTCACATTGAATTGTGTATTTTGTGTTTGACATAATATTTGTATGCAGGCTAAGAAATTTTTATACTTTTATTTCCTACTATCGAGTCCTTGATAGGCTTTAAACCTTCACTACCTCTTCGTCTACAACAGACACACCGAGCACAACGATCCCTAAGTACTTCCGCCGTGTCAACGAAACGTAAAATTACCCCCTTACCCTTCCTCGGCACATAACATGAAATCTTAATTGCCGTTTCACTCAAACAAACTTATTAAACGTTTTGTAGAATAACAGAAACCCCACATTGGTGACGTATTATTAAGAAGATGCCGTGTTTTGACTTTGACACACACATCATCCCTTGCGGGGTGGGTGGTGCGTTGACGGTCGTAAAAATACAGTTGCTTTCGACACATCTGACAAATATTTGAGGGTCGTTTCGAAAATATAGGTAAGTTGTTAACATGTCGCCTAAGATAATGATACACCTCATGAAATCTTTGAGTTACTCATTCTGACACCCGCGGGAAAGAAATACAATGATGCTATACTAAGCTTCCAGCACACGGCAATAGGACTTTGAATCGAAACTAATTTGATTAAAGTTCGGTCGTAGGATTTTTGTAAGTAGCATGGGAATGACAACTTTGAGTGGAAAACTTTTGATTTCACATTTCAATAAATCGAAGTCCTACGACTATGAATAAATACATAAAACGTTACCTAAATAAAATTATTTACAAGATATAAATTATATAAACCGTATCTTTATACAACATCAACATTTGATTCTTTGGAAAGAAAATAATCCCGATATCCGTTCCATTTAAAATTAATGATATCTATCTTGTCAGTGGAAAGAAGCGAACAAGGTACACTCGTGAAAGAATTATAAGATAAAAACTTTTTAACAAAAAATATCACCGCCGAAAACTGAAAAGCCAAAAATAATAAGTATTGTTAGTATAGATGCTTACCTAAGACATATTTTTGGAAATATTGCCTACAATATTGGAACTGAGTAATTCTGAGTCGGCGTCGATAAATTTTACATATTTAGTAATTAACACGCTTCATTGGCATGACGCCGACTCAAAATTACTCAGTTCCAATATTGTAGGCAATATTTCCAAAAATATGTCTTAGGTAAGCATCTATACTAACAATACTTATTATTTTTGGCTTTTCAGTTTTCGGCGGTGATATTTTTGTTAAAAGTTTTATTTCATAATTTTTAGTGGCTACTTTTCAAGTTAATTTACTTTCAAAATAGCAAACTGACTGTTTCTAAAGAGTTTCAAGCGGACAAAGAAACTACATGAAATATTTACAGATACCATTACCTATAAAAGTAACCTCCTTTTTGGTGGACATCTTTGACACATGTTTGGCAGAGAGTTAACGGGCCGACGTCAGTCATGTAGGTAAAAAACAAGTACATTACGCTTCAAATCACCATCATCTTCCTGCCCTTATCCCAATTACTTACTTGGGGTCGGCCAATGATATTATATGTAGGTTCTGGGTCGGCGCAACACGTTTCGTTGAATACAAAATCGTGTTGCAAAAGGATTTAGCTGAATTTTATGACCGGCCGCCTACCAGACGTCAACCCTCCTTGGGAATGCTCTTGTGGTGGATTAACCGCCACCATATGGTTGGCCCTGGCTATGGGACCACCTGGGCAGTGCACCCTTTCAAACAAAAAAAGATTTTTTCAAATCGGTCCAAGCGTCTCCGAGTAATCGGTGAACATACATAAAAAAAAAAAAAAATAATAAAAGTTCGGGCTGAATTGAGAACCTCCTCCGTTTTTTTTTCGTCGGTTAAAAAGAATCATGCCTGCGATAGGCGCCATAATTTTTGCCTGCGATCACATTATCTAAAGGTTGATTACGGTTTGATTTAAACCGTATTTGTATGGGTATAAAACGAAAAATCGCATTTTCCTAACTTATGCGTTAGGCAGCACGTAGGACGTTACGTGTGATTCCCGCCTTATTAAGTATATCTTGTCGGTGGAACAAAGCGTATGCACTTGTGAAAGAATCACATTATGCCTGCGATCATTACATCCCACGGTAGTTTATCTTGACAAAATGTAAAGGGAATTATGATATCCATCCATGTTTATTATTACCGTATCTGTATGGAAATGAGGTGAAATATCGCATATTCCTAACGTATGCGTTACCATCGCAGCGCTAATATAACGCAGTCGTTACGTGTGATTTCCGCCTTATTATATCTTGTCGGTGGAACGAAGCGTATGCACTCGTGAAAGAATCACATTATGCCTGCGATCATTATATCCACGATTGTTTATCTTGACAAATGTAAAGGGAATTATGATATCCATTCACATAACGCTATCCGTTTGACATTATACCCGTATCTGTATGAAAAGGAGGTGAAAAATCGCACATTCCTAACCTATGCGTTACCTACGCAGCGCTAATATACCTAACGCAGTCGTCACGTGTGATTTCCACCTTATTATATCTTGTCGGTGGAACGAAGCGTATGCACTTGTGAAAGAATCACATTATGTCTGCGATCATTATATCCACGGTTGTTTATCTTGTTGGCAAGCTCGCGATAACAACGAGAGAGCCAACTTTTGCTAACGCAAACATTATTGTTATGTTTTGCGCTTGAGTTTACGTTCTGACGAAACGCAATTATGTTTCGCGATGCAGTTCACCAAAATGTTTCGGGAATATGATGCATGGTAATAAGGAGCGACTAAGGCCCAAGCTCCACAGAGTAGAGGTGAGTTGAGACGTGAGACGTACCTACCTAAGACGTGCAAAGTCGCGACGCTTGAAACCCTTTCCTCCGAAAAATAACCTTATGTCATAGCTTTAATATGATTTTGATAGTGGTCAAATATGGTCTATTTGAACTGCCGCACTGTAATAATAATAACCTATCGCGTTGTTACCTTTTTGTCTCTTTTATTTATGTTTAAAAAATTCTTTGACGAAGGTTAAATGCCAAACCTTTGGGTAGCTTTAGGGACACAATTTTAGAGAAATCCTTTTAAATTTCGAATTAAAAAATACCAAAATATTTTTTTCACGAAGTTTTGTGATGTGCCTCCCCTTTGAAAAGAATTTCCAAAACGCTAAGCATACCACTTTTTACGGGCACTTGACTTTGTGCGAAAAAAATATGTAAATTGCTGTCAGAAATGGATTACTGTTTGGTGGGATTATAGTTGGAATGGAAATTGAAACGTCTAAAGCATTTCACAAACTAAAAAAAAACTCGGTAAAAAATTTAGTGGAAAGTAATATAAAGCTCTTTTTGATTATAAAAAGTTAGGTGAGAAACTTAGCGCATGCGTAGGTAAGGAAAATGAGAATATCGCGTATGCGTACCGCACAAATCGCACAACGCAGCACTGCATTGATGACTGCGTCTGTCAAACTTGTTTGACCTATTTGACCTAATTTCAACTTATCAAATTTATCATATTCAACCTATCTTCGCTTCTTTTCAATTGGGACACCTCTCTACCTATTTATACTTTTGACATAATTTCGCTTGCCCTATTTTTTATTGTTTGCATTCAAAATGCAAACTGAATCTGAATCCAATACAAACTGTCTAAAGCAATGCTTTTGTGTTTTATCTCACCACCCCACAACTAAATCAGTCCAAAAGTTTGAACTCCCTTTATGAGTCCCTGAATGTCTTGAAACTTTCCTATAAAGGCGAGGAAACCAAAGTTTAAGTCCATGGCCTATTACTCACCTCATCTATTATTCGCGAGGCTTTCTCCTTCGGCATACATGAAAAGAAAAAGTTGGTTTTCTTCGCGCGTAATTCCTATAATTTTGTTTACGAGGAAATATAGTTGAGTTACTTCATTCGCCAAAGTGAAAAGATAAAACATGAAAGGGAAACGTTTGAATAAATCGCTGAGCATCCCATGGTTTCTAATTAGCTTTGGAAGGCCGTTTTTCTTTATAAAGCTTCAGAATTTTCGTATAAAATCTGATTCAAATAGAAAAATTGGGTATCCTTTTTCCCTAATAGAAGGGGCGAGACGCAACCTTCTACTGTAGCGGGCGTGACCTAATTCCCACGACGTTTTCGCTGACATTTTCAACAAGAGCCCACACATTTTTTCCTTCTTTGAAGGTACACTGCTTACTTACTACCAAGCGAGTTTCACAAAGTGTATTACATGCAAGCAATGTATATAAATGAAGTTGAAGCGGTCGTTTGAAAGGCAGCTGTTGATTTGCATAATAAATCAAATGAACGCTAACTGGTCTCACACCATTGCTGTGCTGGAACTCTATGTTTCGTTTCAATACTGTAAGATTCTCGATGGGTTTGAATTAAATAACAAAATCGTATGAGAATTCTTCAGAAAAAGCTTCTTCTTTGTCTGTCGTGTAGACACCGATTTGGAAAACGACCTAACGACGGAATATCCATCTACTA